GTTGGTGACGGTAAGATGAGGCCTTGAAGAGGCCATTCATTAATCACCTAAGAGCCTTCACAGGCCTAGTCAGGGAGCAGGAGGCTAACTGTTGGATTTTACAGTCCAGCCTTGTCTTTGAACCCAACAACAGGGAAGCATAAAATCCTGCCCTACCCATCTCCACTAAACAGCTGCAAATAGTTCACTGATTTCTAAACTACATGGTGGTTGGTCAAGTTTAGCCCTACATTTGAGAGCATGAATGTATAGAACAAAATTGTAATCATGGATTTGAAGTTATTCAGTGAGAAGACAACATGCAGGTGGTTAACTCATTTGTACAATATTTATTTACAATAAGCTTGAACACTGATTTAAAAAATTCACAATGATCGGTAAGATCTGCAATCTAAGAGGTGTAAATGTTGAAATTGCTGCAGTTGATGTGTTCTTCAGGATTTGGGGCTGTTAAGTGACATCTACTGGAGTTTACCCATGTAATATTTTTGAGCACTGACACCAGGAGTGTATTTAATGTGAAAATACTGTAATATAACATTTCCATCAGAGGGCAAGTATTAAAATTCAGTATCAAAGAGGGCAAGCAGATTGATCGATCATGACATACATAAAATTCCCAACTTTGGACAAGGTCTCATGTGGATAAATCTCAGATAGCACAATCTTCATTGTTAGCGTTGACTGCAGACTACATTCAAAAAGTGGAAGCCACAGAGGCTGCTGAGTACTAAGGGATGCTGTTTAAGAGGTCTGTCTTGATGCTGTGGATTTTGACCTAGTCAAAGATGAAAAAGTAGGACCTACTAGCCCTTACCATGTTACAGGGGAACATTAGGGTGCAAGTCCACAGATCTCTGAGTGATTTCTTCAATTGCTATTCTTTCAGGCATTGAGTTCCAGAACCCCATCATCATCTAGATTGGAAAGTCGCTCCTCAATTCCTCTCTGATCATTTGCCAATTAGTATAAATCTATACTTCCTGCTTACTGACCTCCCTACCGAGAGAAATACATTATTTATTTCCACTCTATCTAAGCCTCTCATAATTTTGCATACTGCAATTAGCCTCTGTTCCAAAGAAAATAACCCCAGATTTTGCAACCATTCCCTGCCATCAAAAATCTCCATTCCTGATGCCAACTTTTCCTAAGTCTCCTCTGTCCCCTATAGTGCAATTACATCATTCACACAAGAACACAAGAACTAGGAGCCTGCTCCGCCATTCAATAAGATCATGGCTGATCCTTTCGTGGACTCAGATCCACTTACCCGCGTTCTCACCGTATCCCTTAATTCCTTTATTGTTCAAAAAAAATCTACCTTTTTTTAAAAGCATTTTCTGAATTAGCGTCAACTACTTCACTGGGCAAGTAATTCCATAGATTAACAACCCTCTGGGTGAAGAAATTCCTTCTCAGTTCAGTCCTAAATCTGCTCCCTCTAATCTTGAGGCTATACCCTCTTGTCCATTCCTGGAATGTGGTGCTCAGAAGTTTACATAGCATTCTAGCTGTGGTCTAACTAATGTTTAATTAAGTATAACCTCTCTTAAATTCTTAAATTCTAACCCTCAACCAATAAAGGAAGGCATTCCACTTGCCTTCTTGATCATCTGCCCTATCTCCATGGAACTGTGATACACCCTCCAATATCCCATCATACTTCTCAGCATCCTCCCATTTATTGTGCATTCCCTTGTTGTCTTCCCGAACACATTGTACAGGTATTCAGACTGAAATCCATAAGCCACCCTCCTGCCCACCTGACATTAGCATGTCCATACCATTGGCATCTCCCTTTAGTGTACACAATCAAAAATCATATGACCAATTTTTCTATCTTTTGCAAACTTCTTAAGCATGACCCTCGCATTTAAGTCTAAACAACGGATTACAGCAAACAGGAAAGGACTTAGCACTGAGCTTGTGGAGCCCTTGTAGAAACAGCTTTCCACTGAGCCATTACCCTTTTGCTTCCTGCCAGTTAGCCAGTGTTGGAAACAACATGTCACAGCTTCTTACTTTTCAGATTTATCTGGTATTTGGGATATTAAAACTGCTACCTATCATCAAAATTACGTTGCAACATATCACTTCCCTCAAACTCTCAAATGGAGGAATTTGCCCCATGTTCTTCTTTATGTTTTTCTGTTTTACATTTATTTTCCTATCTGTAGAATTCACTCATATTTTCTTTGGTGTCTCTTTACTTCTCTCCATTTTTCTTGTCAATCTCTGTATGGGCTATCTTTGTAAGTTTGCTCTTTCATCTGTTACCTCTGTCCTCCTTTCCCAACTGTCTGCTCAAACATCAGACTTACTCTGGTACCCACCGTACACCACAGTTTGGGGGAGGCAGCGTCATATTGGTAATATTACTGGACTAGTGACCCAGGACCCCAGTCTTATTTTCTAAGGACGAGTTCAAATTCTACCCTGGCAGATGGTGAAATTTGAAAACAATAAAATTGATTCTGAAATATACAGCCAGTCTAATGGCAACTATTCAACCACTGTCGATTGTCATTTAAATTAAGTCTGGTTCATTAATAGAAAGGTAACATGCCATCCTTACCCAGTTTGGCATACATGTGACTTCAGTCCCACAGCAAAGTGGTTGATTCGTAACTACACTCTGGGCAATTCGAACAAAGCATGCCACTTGACTGTTTGTGGATGAGGTGCCAGTAACTCCCTCGACCACTGATCAGTAGCAGCAGTGTGTGCTATCTACACGATGCACTGCAGAAATTCTCCAAAGCTCCATCTAAACTCTCTCCCACTTCCATCTCAAAGGACAAGTGCAGCATATACAATGGAACGCCACCACCTGCAAATTCTCCTCCAATCCATTCACCATCCTGACTTGGAAATACATCGTTCACTGTCGTTGGGTCAAAATCCTGGAATTCTCTCCCTAAGGGCATTGTAGGTTTACCTACTGCACATAGACTGTGGCAATTCAAGGAGGCAGCTCACCACCACCTTTTCAAGGGCACTTAAGGATAAACAATAAATGCTGGCCCAGGCAGCGTTGTCCACATCTCATGATCAGATATGAAACATATGCTCATCTGTACTGAATTTCCCCAGAAAAGTGAATGGACAGAAAATCCCTGGATTATGGCCACGGAAACAGCAAGAATCAGTGATGAACAAAACAAGACGTACTGTTGCTGGAAGAGGAGCAGTTTTTTTCCCTTTCTTTCAAATGAGCAACATCACAGGTGATCAAATAGCATTTCTGTTAATATTCATGTGCCAAAAATCAGAACAAAGTACAACTTGATTGCATTAGAAACAAACAACAGATGGGAATTTCAGTCTGTGGGAACAAATTTACCCACGGCGCTGAGATTCATCTGACAAGATGACAAGAAGAGAAAAGTCAAACTTGGAAGGGGAATTAAAACAAAGACCAACAATTTTCTGTGGGAGTTTACTCCTGTTTTTCAATTCTTAGTCTCTTGGCAATGGAAAGTGGATTGCGCAAAGGTTACTGGCTCACTTACATTATTCCAGAATATTCAGAGATTTCAGGAAGAATTTTTTTAGCACATTTGAAAAATGACTATCTGGGCCATAGATTTGTTTTACAGGATAGGGTGCGAATGTATGCAAATTGCAACACAGGAACTGAATCGCATAAATTTGCAGTTCTTCCCCAATATGCCACTTGGGAATAAAACTCAGGTTGATTGTTAAAATGTAAGAATTGTACACCACATGAAAGACAAAAATCAGATCAGTCATAAGCATAAATAAATGACAGTAATATCATTTTAGATTGAGCAAATATTGAAGACTTCAACTTATGTGCTTGTTTGGTTGATATTTGCACTGAAATATCATTATAACTCTTCAGGGAGAGGTTGGAATTCTTCTATATTGCAGGCTTTATATAATTTCACCGTGCCTTCCATACAAAGGAAAGCTTCCCAAATGTGTCCTGAAATATGAAATGTTACCCTTTTTCTCTATCAGGAGCTGATTAACTATACTTTTGATTCAATTTTGTATTCTCTTAGTGGTCATCATTCTCTTGTTTTCAGTTGAAATGTGGGAGCCAGCATGTTTTGTAGCAAATGACTCACTGATCCCCCACCCTTCCCCTCGCGACTGATAAATCAGAATGGGTGCTGCTCAGCTTAAGAGCTGAGTAGGGATCTTCAGTCAGTTTTCTACCTTATCCCAGGCCTTGACAGTGGAGTCCTGCCTTGCCAAAACAGGAACTGAATCACATATGTTTGCAGATCTTTCCCACTGCAGAAGCTGTCCATTGGTCCATTGGTCAAGACATACAATTCAAAGGATGCAGTGGTGGCACAGTGATGGGTAAAACCAGTGAATAATAATTAATTAATACTTGGAAATGAGTCCAGTAGTCATACTGGAGCTCCATTTTGAAATGAACAACATGGAGTGGGACAGTTGTGTCTCCATCCACAAGTTTTACTGGTATTTCCTTCTGGGTAATGAGCTTTGCTTTTGCTTCACGGGGTTGAGGTTGCAAGAAGAAAGGGCGTTCGTGGGGCAAAAGCAAAGGTAGGGTTGGCTTTCAGAGGACCATTTTGCACCCCTTTCTGTGCTACTGATTGCCACCCAGTTGAGGTAAATGGATGCCACCTTCGGCCAACTGAGGGAGCTAGGGCTGAGGGAGCTAGGATTTTCTCATTAGAGCGAAGATGGATGGGAGGTGACTTGATAGAGGTGTACAAGATGATGAGAAGCATAGATAGAGTGGATAGCCAGAGATTTTTTCCCAGGGCAGAAAGGACTATTAAGAGGGGGCATAATTTTAAGGCAACTGGAGGAAGGTATAGGGGAGATGTCAGAGGCAGGTTCTTCACACAGCGAGTGGTGGGCGTGTGGAATGCGCTGCCGGCAGTAGTAGTGGAGTCAGATACTTTAGAGACTTTTAAGCGACTCTTGGATAGGCACATGGGGGATAGTAAAATGTAGGGTATGCACGGTAGATTGACCTTAGTAGGATAATAGGTTGGCACAACATTGTGGGCCGAAGGGCCTGTACTGTGCTGCACTGTTGTATGTTCTATATTCTTAACCTGGCAGGCAGGTTGTCCTGGTTTCTCACCAGGAAATCCAGCCAGTTTTCTCCCTACCCAGGGAGGTGCTGAGTTGAGGGACTTAATTGACCACTTAAGGCCTTAATTGCTGGCGGTATAGAGAAAATCCCAATGATCCTTCTCAAACAGCACTGAATTGCTGAGTTGGTGATACAGTGGCAAATATCTCTCCAGGGTGAACATGTCCAATTACTTTCCTTTCTCACCAGCACCAGGGAGGGGAACATTCCGCCCTACATTTCCTTTCATTTTAGTCATTATTTCTACTATCTTGCTTTTCCACCAGTGCACCCTGCAGGACACTCAAACCCCTCACATCTCCTGAGGAAGGTCAGAAGCACTTTGATGACTTCCACCAGTAGCATAAGTGTGAAAAACAGGTCATGTGTGCTCAGTGAGGAGGTCACATTGATTTTGCTTTTTCAAGTTTGAACGTTCTGCCATCTTCCAAAATGAGAGCAATGTGAGCAATTGATAAAACTAACACCAGAATCCCTTTGATTGCATTCACCATCCTGTTGAGAAATCACTTATCCCGATTCTGTACAAAAGCACAATGTACCATCATAACTATATTCATCAGCTGAGAAACTTGTCTCTTTTAGTTCAAACTCTGATCCAGAAGCCGATTGCCATTCATTATCATCATTATCTTTAGAATCCCTTTGTCTACCATGATGCTTTTTACTTTCCTTTTTCTTTGCCCTGCATTTTTCTTCCTCCGAAGATGAAGAGTCTGCTTCTTGTTGTAATACGTGTTTCGGAATAGGCTTTACAAACTGCACATTGGGTCTGGAAGAAACAGTTAAGAATGCAGTGTTAGCAACTGGAAGATATCCAACATTGTTTTAGTTTTAATATCTCTCACAAACCTATTTCCCAGGCTCAGTTGTTGCATACACTAACTGGTTCTAGATCTAAGCTCAACAGATCAAGAAGGACCCCTGCTTACTCCCACCTGTATTCTGGGTGAAATCATCTCAGGTCTTAGGTCAACAAAACAAAAAGGCATGTTCATTCAAGCACATTCTGATGTTGGGATGTAAAAACAGAACAAAGTTCTCTCTTTGATGACTGGCTTATTTTCGCTTTTACAGATGTCAATCATGTGACCAGTTATTCATCCTAATTTTAGTCTCATTACACCACAACCCGCATGCAGAAGGAACAGAAAACACTCACGGTTTGCACTGAGTACTCAAAGAATTGCTACTTGGGAAACAACAATAACTTGGATTTATATAGCACCTTTGACAGAGTAAGCCATCCCAAATGCTTCACAGTAACATTATCAAGCATTTGACACCGAGCTACATAAGGATACATTAGTGCAGATGACCAAAAGCACAAGGATGCTGGGTGAACAGGACTTGTTACAATCAAGAAAATTAGTGGCCAAGCGTCAAATTATCTCAGGCTTTTCTCAGGGTGGAAGACAGGAGCAGGCCAGGAATGCTTTCATGTAGTCAAGTTTAGAGATCGCAAAGGCATTGCACAGGATTTCAGTAGCACAAGCATTGGGGCAGGGTGGATTCTAGATGCTGGCAAATGTGAAAATATAACAGCACTTTCAGGAAAATAGGGAAGAAAATTGAAAAGGACAATAAAATCTAAATTCATTGATTGTCCCCACAAATTTTAAGGAAGTCCCACATTATAAACATGATTAGATGTTAAGCAGGGACAATTGGAGAAATAGGTTGAAGCTGAGCACACACGGTTGGATGGTTGTGGTCCTGGGAAGGATGCTAGCATCGCTGGGCAATGAAGAGGTCATTCTCAAGACGACCATCCCATTGGGGTCAGCCCGTCTTTCTGAGGTGTGGGGCCAATCAGATGGCTGGCAACTTGCTCTCCTCAGTGTGCAATTGATGGAGGTGGCCACAGCTGAGGTAGCAGGGAGAACTTTGACGCTGCCTCAAAAGCAAGCTAGGCTTTATTTTTAATTTGGTGTGCAAGCCAGAGTGCTGAATCCCACTGAGCTATGGCAGTGGCTATTATACTCTAAGCCACAAGGTGGCCATTAAGGAAAGACTGCTCTTGAGAACCCGCTGGGATGCCACCACACTTTACCTGCTGACATGCCTCCAAGAGATGGCAAGTGCCTATTAATTGACCACTTATTGGTTTAATTGGCTGCCCAGCTCTGGTTGGCACACTGCCACACCATTGCCATTTCCTCCATTGGTTATACCATGTGACTGCAGGAGGAGGTTGGGCTTCTGTCCCTGTGCCTCCTGATGCGACGCTAAGAGACCTCCCGCTGCCCAGCAGTCTCCAGTCAGCTGGTAAAATCCTTAGCTCTCCATACCCACTGGAGATGCAAGCTTGTCTTCAGAATGACCATGTACCAGCCATTTTCACCAACACTCTAACAGATAGAGATGCCTGCAATAGGTAGGTTCATGATGCAGAGTCATTGCTGTTTGAGTTCTCTCACCATATGATTAAAGCCCAGTTCACAGTTTTGGTACTGGACTAGCTTAGCTAGTGTTTTGATTATAAATACATTTCCTGCAGTGGTTTTAACCTCCCCTACAAACCTGGTCACTGCCACTAAAACACAAACATTAACCTCAGTCCCTACGGTTGACTGTTCTATGTTCTATTCTTAACTTAAGCACAGTCATCAATCGTAACAACTGCACAATCAGATCTCCATCTTTTATAAGCTCCTGTTACAAAATCCAAAATGACTGCCTTACAGAACACAGGCAAATATTGCAACAAAATTTCATTTACTAGTGAATCATGAATTCACTATTATACCTCTGGTACCAAACTTTACCATTCCAGGCTGGCTACAAAAACTACACTTTCATCTGTTCATTGGACACACACTAACACCAAACTACCAAATATTAATTGACATGCAATAATACTTCAAAGACATGGTGTCAAAATCCTCTACTCCCACCTTCATCTCAGTCTTTCCCAATGATTTTGTTATCAAGGTTATACAAACCATCCAAGCTTTATCGATTTTTACAATAAACAGTGACCAGACAATATGTCCCACACCATCAAGACACGGTTGAATGACCTTCTCATTCTTTCAGCTTCTCATTCTGTGCAAATCATCCTTTCACAGCTGCTTTAGCCCATCACATGCTGATCCCACAAACAGCCAAAACATTAACTAACATGGATAATATAAACTCACATTCCCCTACCTAACTCTTAGCATTCACTTATTACCCTCCATCCCATGATACCTAGTTGAAATAACAGTTTACAAATATTTGCCAGATTTTGCAATTGAACTCCATTCCATAGAATCCCTACAGTGTGGAAGCAAGCCATTCAGTCCACACTGACCCTCCAAAGAGCACCCTACCCAGATCCACCCCACCTTATCTCTGCATTGCCCGTGGCTAATCCTCCTAGCCTGCATACCCCTGAACACTATGGGCAATTTGGTATGACCAATCCACCTAACCTGCACATCTTTGGACTGTGGGAAGAAACCAGAGCAGATGGAGGAAACTCACATAGACAGTTGCCCAAGGGTGGAATCAAACCCAGGTCCTTTGCACTGTGTGGCAGCAGTGCTAACCACTGAGCCACCGTGCTGTCCATTAGCCTTAAGGTTGCTGTTACAATGTCTTTTGCCCATCTGACATCACATACTAATGAGCCAAATTATTCTGTTGTTTAATATTAGAAAGAGACAATTGATTCCATTTAGCAAGCCCCAAGGAGGTACTAACAAGCTGTAACTCCATCAGCTTCTTCAGGGGACCTCTAAGATTATGTCAGAAGAGCAGGGCTTTTATCAAGGATACTTTCTTCTTTGAATGCAACATTACCTGCCTCCTTTCTATCAACAAACTCTCAGAGCAACTAGAAATGGATAATAAGCACTGTCTTGCTAGTTCAAGGCTTCACACACTGAGAAGAAATTCCAATCAAAAATTAGATAGTTTGCTATTTCTAACTACAAACATCCCTTGCCTCGATAGGCACAGAAACAACTTCGGAAACAGAAGGAGGATTGTAATGTACTGTGGAGCTGGAGGAACACAGCAGGCTAGGAAGTAGGAAAGTTGATGTTTCAGGTCAGGACCCTTCTTCAGAAATCAGAATTTCTTACTATCTCTGAGTATTGTAATGTGTTTTATAATACATAGGTGCAAAGAATTTTGATGTGCAATACTATAAAATAAAGTAATTCAATATGTACTTATATTATTGATTAATTGAAATGAATTCTTTAATATAAGCAGTATTTTAATGGAATGATCCAGTTCCTTTATGAATACAATAAAACATGTTCAGTGTTGAAGCTCCAACAGCTACTTCCCCTTAATCAAGACACTAAATAAAGTAACTTTAGGCCAATCAACAATGGTTCACCAGCAACCTCATAAGTAACAATCCTAATCTACCACTTAGCCAGTCCCAACGATAACTGCATAATGAGTAAAAATAGAATATTCTATCTGCTGCAAAAAAGCACCTTAAATCATGTAAGTCAACCTCATTTTTATTTTGTTTTACTAAGCTGTATAAGTTTTAAAATGTATTTATGTATTAATATAGAAAACATGTGAGTTATCCACATGATATAATATTATTTCTTTTCTTATTATTTGTTGCTCAGATACGATGTGGTGCCAGTTAAGCAGGCTGCTTTGTCCTGGATGGTGTCAGACTTTTTGAGTGATATTGGAGCTGCACTCATCCAGGCAAATTCCATCACACCCTTGACTTGTGTCTTGTATATGGCACCGGGGAAACAGGAGGCAAAATACTCACTGCAGAATTCGTAGCCTCTGATCTACTCAGTAGCCACAGTATAGCTAGCCCAGTTCAGTTTCTGGTTGATGGTAATTCCAGGATGTTGATTGCAGGGATTCAATGATGGCAATGTTATTGAATGTCATGAGATGGTTAGATAACTCTCTTATTGGAGATGTTGCTAAATGTTGTGCAATCATCATGGAACATTCCAATTCTATCTCACGATGGAAGCAAACCTGTGATGAGACAGCTGAAGATGCTTGGGTCTTGGACAAAACCCTAGGGAACAGTGATGCCCTTGGACTGAGATGATTGACCTCCAACAACCAAAACTGTCTTTCTTTGTGTGAGAAATGACTCCAAGTAGTGGATACTTTTCTACCTAATTCCCATTGACTCTAGTCTTACTAGGGCTCATGATGTCATCATTGACCAGATGCAGCTTTGATGTTAAAGGCAGTCACTCTCACGTCACCCCCAGAAGTCAGCTCTATTGTCCATGTTTGCACCAACGCCATATGAGATCAAGAGTTGAGTGGACATAGTGATGCCAAAATTGAGTACCAGTTTATTCCTTTTCAAGTGACAGTTGGCAGTCATGTTGATGACCTCTTCCATCATGAATGGAAAGTAGACTGACAGGGCAATAATGGGCTAGGTTGGCTTGACCTGTTTTTTGTGTGCATGACACACCTGATGATTATCCACATTTTCGGCATAGCTAATTCTGGAGCACAGCTCTTCAGTGCTATTAATGGAATATTGTCAGCCCCATAACCTTTGCAGTTTCCTGGCATTTACTGATATCACATCAAATTGAGTGAAACAAATTGACTGAAGACTTGTATATGTATTCTGGAAACCCCAGGAGGAGGCTGAGATGGATCATCCAACTGGCCCTTCTGGCTGACAGCTAATGTAAATTTTATAGCCTTATCTTTTTCAATAATGTTTTGGACAATAGGTATGTTTGTGGAGCTTTCTCCTCCTGTTAATTGTTTAATTATCCATCACCACGCATGATGGATGTGCTAGTCATCCACACAAGT